GACCTCATCACATAGTTTTAAAGTATGACACATTAACTTAATACCTCTATAATTCGCACAATCTTGTGCATCACCTTTATTCTTAAAAATAGGAATTAACACACTCATTCTCCACTCATCTGACATCTTCTTAGTCTTTAAAATAGTATTAAAAAGTTTAGTAAGCCATGAAATTCCTTCATCTCCTAAGCATTTCCACACCTCTATTGGAATATCATCAGGTCCAACAGCTTTTCCACCCTTCATTTTCTTTAAAGCTTCTCTAACTTCAGTTTTACTAATACGCCGATAAAAACATAAATCTTTATTTTCATTTAGGGTGCAAAGGTCACTATAGTCAATCTTATTTTCACAATCTTCATTAAAAAGTTTAGCAAAATATCTCATCCATCTTTGTTGAATATCATCTTCTAAGAAAAGTATTTTTTGATCTTCATCCTTAATACACTTCACTTGAACTAAATCCTTACTACTCCTATCTCTTTGTTTGGCTAACTTATACATATATCTTTCTCCATCTTTAGTATCTAATTTTCCAAAATTTTTTTTGTTAATATTCTTTAAATGCCCCCATTTAATCCTAGAAAATTGTTTTACTTTATTTTTTATTTTATGCCCCTTTATCTTAAAGTCCAAAACTAATAATCGATGTTGGGTACATAAATTTTCACTCGGAATAACTTTACAATCTTTACAATCTAAACGATTTAATTTTCTAATAAGAAAATAGTCAATCTGGGTTGTATTATATCCATTTTTATAAGTGATGAGATGCTCATTCATTTTCTTAAATAAGGTATTAGCAATTAAAAAATCATAAGCTAAACAAAAATCCAATATGGTCTTGCCGCCTTCATTCGTCGTTCCAAATCTATGGCCACCATGAATGCTTTTAAAATCATCTACCTCTCTACCAACATGTCCATTTAAATCTCCTCCAATAAAAACTCTTTCTTCAAGAGGTATATTTTGTATTAATTCTTCTAAGTCATTCCAAAAATTTAATTTAGAACTCATATCCAAACCTACTTGAGGAGCATAAGCCCTTATAATATTAACAATCTTATCATCAACAACAATCTTTAAAGCTATAATTCTATCTCCAATTCTATTAATTTTTATAACATTATCCTTTAAACTCTTATCTATAATAACACCTACACCATTTCTAGTACGACTCCTACCCGAATACCAAAGTTTAAATCCTAAACTATCAATTTCCTTAGCCTTATCTCCAATCCATTTAGTTTCCTGAATGCACAAAATATTTACGGAGGTTGTCTCATGGATTTCAAAATAATATCTTTAAATTACTTAGAATTGAGTAATCTATGAATGAAATAATCACGTAAGGGCTAGAAGCTTACATAGAAGCTGATTATACATGGTTAATTGAAGATAGGAATGCTTGTGGATACTATATTGCTGTAGATAATTGGACCTCTTTCCATCTGCCTTCATTTGGCTTTTCACGGCTTACCTTTGAACCATTCCACAATACTTTTTCAATGCCTGATTTCATTTACATTTTATGTGTTGCTTCTAATCTCATAACTATATTTGATGCTTTATTTCTTTAGCTAGGTTCACCTTATTCTTCCATGTTGGAGACTATAATAGGTTTTACCAAATAAATTGAGAATGGTTAAAAAGCACTTACATCACTTTTGCATTTTCTTTCCACCTTCACAACTTGATTGAAGTCAAAGGTACATAAGCTAAAATTTATTGACGTCCTAGTCTTTCCTGCCTGATGAAGGGTTGGTTTATCACATTAGAACAAATAAATAGTAGCTCTCTTTTTGACGCAAGTGTTTTGGTTAAGCTGAGGGAATGTATTTTGTCTTTTAAGCGGAGGATGGCATTTACTTCCTTTGCTAGTGCAACTCGAACCTTAGCATGTGTAATAGTAGGAGGCATGTGGTTCAACTAATTGAAATTTTCTGTTGTTTGGTTCTCTTCTTAAGCTTTTCTGGTGCATTTATAAACTAGGCTGGAGTTGTGCCTCCAAAATCAAGAAGCGATCAACTCCTTTGTCCTTATAAATGATTGATGGAATGTTTCTTCGGCTATTTTAATTGCATTCTATTGGATCGCAAGGTGTGGCCTTTCCGTTCACTATTGTGGAGGAGGCTTTATCTACTTTCAGAAAAGCCACCAAACTCCCTGATGATTGTTTCCTTCCTATTCACTGTTGATGATATTCTTCTCTTCTATGGAGTTCAACCTCGATAATATTGTCTTTACATCAATTTCTTTTTTATCTTCATTGGCTACATATGCCTCTTAACTTTATAATATCTTATTTCCTTTTTAGCCATCGTCCACAGCCAAAAGTCCTCTTTAAAGTTCTTGGCTTTATTATTGAGACCTTTATTGTTATTAATACCAAAAATTAACAACCAAATAAACTCCAGACACATACAAAAAATGTATGAATTTAAATATTTTTCATTCAAGGATTGCTCGGTCATCTGGTTGACAAATAAATAGGTTTTGGCTATCCCAAATTATGACAAAACACCTTGCTTGAGTTATTTGCTCCAGAGCCATAAACTTTACTAAAAAAAACTATAATTGCAAACTTTAACTATAAAGCGATAAATTTGTATGTGTTCTCCCTTCCCGGGCCTATACAATTTTTATCGCCAAGGGACATATTAAGATATTAAGTCCATAATAACTCAATTTCTCTTGTTCAGCTTCCGACTAGGAGCTTGAAGTTATGAAATAGCCATGGTTTGAGTTTGGTTTGGAGGTGCTCTCTTTCTATATGATCAACTTGGTCTCCTGTGTCATGCTTACAAACAAGTTGATCATAGGAGAATAGCTTTGTGCCTCCTATATGGTTTTTTGTTATTCGTTATAGTTGTTTGTTGGCTCTTAAGACTTACTTGTACTGTCCACTTAAGTTATTTTTAGATGGCCATGCTCTCCTTGTAATAGCATCTGACTACATCATTAGTAACAATAGATCCTACCTTTATTTTACTTATGAATTTGAGATCGGAGCATCCGCTAGATCTATGTAGATGTTGTCTTAAGGAGAGTTTCTTTAACAGAGGGAACTCTTAGCGTTTGATGTTATTGGGTATGGTGCTTGGAATGTCCTTATTCATGTCTTCTTTGTTCCCATAACATCATTGCTTCCAAGCTATTATTGCCCTCGACTAAGGAGACCATATCAATTGGATAACCTCTTTTGATTATTCCCTTAAAGTGAATCCATCAATCATTATATCCAACTTCTTGAAGGTGACTTGGTGAAATTTTGTGTGGTGATGCATCAAGTTCTTTATAGTGATCTCTTTGTATAATAAGTTTGTCCATGCTACATGAAGATGATAGAAATCCTTTTTACTTGGGGAATCTCTTATACAATGATATGCCATTCTTTTTAGCTTGACGATTGACTTAACATATTCTTTAAATACTCCTTTAGCCTAATATTCTTAGCCTTGTTGCCACTAGGAGATTTCATCGTGAGTGCACCAGGCTTTTCCATATATATATATATATATATAAGTGTAATTGTTGGTAATTTGAGTTGATTTAAATAAAAATTTTAGCGAGCTGCCTTCAGTTCAAAATCAACATGAAAAATTTTGAAGCCAAGACTCACTCAACTTTAAATGACTAGTTTGATTTCAAATTGAATCAAATTCTAGTTTAGCCTTAATTTTGATATTACCATGCATGGCCGCTCCCCCCCACCGCACACATACACCCAAAAAAAAAAAAAAAGTTTGGCCTAAAATTATAGGCATTTTGCATAGGTGCAATTGGAATTTCAAGTGCACTACAGTATTTATGCAAACCTTGTCTGGCTTAAGCCTCCTTATGACTAGGCTTTTAGGAGCCAATTGCAGTGACCTTAGTTTACCCGGGCTATTTTGGGCATTTATATTAGGTCTGGCATCCTGCAAAATAGAATTCTAGGAACTGCAAGTAGCGGTGGTTTCCAAGGCTGGGCAGCCAGATTTATTGGTCTTTTGCTAACAGTCCTAAAGTTTCGTTAATACATATATTACCACCCAGATTGTCTAGGTAATTGCATTGACGTAAATTTTAAGCAAATACCAAATACAACCTTTGAAGCTAGCTTGGCTACTCTTTGATTTCTCATTGAACTATCAGTCAACTATGCTTATCTTTGGTTCCCCAAGTCTATATTTCCTTAGTTGCAACCTTGGACTTGTAAATACGTACTGTCTTTATTTGTTATAATCATAATTAGTGAAGGGAAAACGATGGGGTTCTAATCAAATCAAGCCAAGTCAAACAGTATGTTGTTTTCTTTGATTTGAAAATAATCATAACCTGCTTGAGCCTGAACTTGATTTCAGTGTCTGGCTGACCTCAGAATAAGTTAAAGGCTTGATATTGGATTCATTAGAGTAAACACACAAAGCTATGAAATTCTTGACACGGTTTATTTTAGTTGGCTCAATTGTCAAACCCAAGATTTTGAGATTTTTTTTTTAAAATCTAGAATCAAGTTTGCATGCCTAACCAAATGAAGTTCAGAATCGCCTGAAATTTTAGTTTGTCAAAATGGAGAAAAATGATTCATGTAGCCGACCCCACGTATTAGGATAAAGGCTTGATGTTGTCCTTATTGTAAAGGATGGTCAGAACTGGTCCAATAACATCTCTACATTAGATATAAGTTACAATCTGAGTTTTTGTAACAGCTCTACATTAGATATAAGTTACAATCGGCATTATATCCATGACATAATTGCTGCTATGGAATCATTTGTTTGACCAAATGTGTTTTCTGTTTTAGTTTTGAACTTTTTACTGTTCACCATTGCTTGTATGTAGATTGGCTTGTGAGATTCAGTTTATATTTTTTGGAAGCATTTATGTGACGGATCATATAGTTTATTCAACAATTGCTCCTCTTGTTCCTCTCATATGCTGAATAGTTTCAAATTTTTATATCATTCTACATTAAAATTGTAGCTTTTTGCTGACTTAGTCTTTTATCTATCAAGTACCACCCAGATGTCAACAAGCAGCCCGGGGCAACTGAAAAATTCAAGGAGATAAGCACTGCATATGAGGTAGCATCAATTAAATCAATTTATGTTTTTGTATTTTAGAACTTTGCCTACAGTGCTTTAGAAAAAATATATTCCTGATTGCAAGTTCAATGGTACTATGTTGAGCTCATTCTTGTTTTAATCTGTTAATAGACTGTAGTGCTTTTATCTCTCTGAATCCCATGCAAACACATAAACAAATATAGGCTGGGTGCTAACAACATTGATGCAATTATATAATAGCTATGCGACGATAAATTGCTGGGCGGCCCTCAGTTCCCTTCCCCTCTTTACTGCAATGTTTCGTCATTCACCATTACTTGGCCTTGTGATATCTGGTGTTGCTGTACCGAATGTATCACTTGAGGAGTTGAACTCCTTCCTCTTTGCCCTCTCTCACTCTCTCTCTTTCCTTTTTACCTCTTAAAAACAATGCCTTGCAGAACAGAACAATATAGTACTTTAGAAGTTTGGTTTTTCATGGGGCTGCAGAAGCTTGTAATTATTTGATGATGATGCAACTAGAATATCAAATTATATATTTGGATGCTGCTTTCATTGAACTGAAACAAAGTTATATAATGTTGGTCCTTTTATTGAGCTTTAGTAAATTTCCCAACTATTTTTTTTTTCCATGAAATAATCTCTCTCTCACTCTCTCCATCCCCCTTCCCCCTTCCCTTCCTCTATTTGCCTCTCTATTCAAGGTGGAGAAGCAAACTTTTGCTTATTGGATTTGACTTGGTGGTCCAAATTTTTTGTAAGTTGATCTAAATAAGCATTTATTTGCTGTTGTATAGAAATAGGAGCTAGTCCTCAGAGAGTATTCATGATGGGAGGGAACACATTTTGAACGAGTAATTATAGGTGCTATATTTGGAGCATATGCTGAGAGGAATGTGAAATGAGAAAAAATGAGTACAAATTCTAACAGGGAAGAGTAAAGAAAGAGAATAATGAGGTCTTTGATAGGAAACACTTGTAGATCTTAAGTATTTCCTATCAATCTTCGTAAAACAGTGAGAAATTCTTCCAAAATCCATTGAAATCCAAGAAAAATAGTAGATTTTATTGCACGAAATCAACTAACGGAAGAAAAGCAAGCAAGATACAATTGATCCTCAATTTGAGAGAAGGATCGATCTCTCCCAAATCTCTAGACGCCGCTAGAGACCAAAGAAAAACTTAAATCTAGGAGATGTCAAATTTCAGCCAAATTCAAGATGCCCTAATCCTAGGAAAACAAAGTATTTAATGCATTCAAAACAAAAGGAAATCCCTAAACAATCCCTACATTCAAATTTCCCTCCCAAATCCCTAAAAAATCCTTCCTAAAAAGCTCTGTGGGCATTGGCAGCTCATGCGACACTACAGGAGGTAGAACTCTTCCGCATCTGTTTCGTCGATCCGGTCAAGTCTGGACCGGCTGGACCGGTCTAACAGTCATCTTACTAAATATGCCCTTTAAGTTTTTCATTTTCATTTTTATTTTTATCTTAATTAGTTTGTTGATTATGAAACTTGTGTATAAACTGACTGCTTGAGTTGGATATGATCTAATCCAATTAATAAAACTTGAATCTCTCTACCTCTTAATATATGTTTTATATGCGTATCATGTATGTACAAGTCTTTGAGGTGTAAAAGGAACTTTATGTTTATCCATGTTTTTAAAAGCCCTCCATTTAGGTTCCTTGTGCCTTTTATTGCATAAGTTGATCCCTGTGCTAAATTGCCATCCTCCATGAATGCCCTTTTCTACCATAGCAACATTAACTTTTTCGTTAGATTCAATCATCTTGATAATTTTTTGTTTGAATCGTAAATTCTCAAAATTTTTTTTTTCTTATAAAAGTATCTAATTTAGAAAACAACAAGCTAGGGTTTGAGAACAAAGTTTTAGGATTTCTCACAATTTCTAAGTAGTATTCACCTCAATGACTTTGCACCCGAACCCAGGTAGGGGTAACCCCCCAACACCCCCTAACGAGCACGAGAAACTTGAGGTTTGAGGCAACAAAACAACCCGATTGATCACCACAATCAAATTCCACACATAGCAATATAGACTTCAATATTTCTTCCATTATAGAAGTGGAAGATGTTTTTCATAAGTTTTTATAAAGCTCCAATATTCTCTGAGTCTAAAAATATGATTTGGAGGATTCCCTTGTTAGTGATAAAGCTAGTTTTTTCTTCGATATTCAAATGCATGTTGATTTGATGGTAATTTGAAAATGTGCTGATGAAGCTCAGAATGCCAACTTGGCTAAGATGTCGATGATCAATAAGGGATAGTTTTCCTTAAAATAGGCCTAATTCAAATTATTAAGATTGATACACTTTCTCCACCTCTATTTACTCTTTATGATTGTGGCTACATTGGGCTAGTCAGAATATTGAACTCCTTAGATAAGCATGGCATTCAAATATTTCTTGACTTTTTCTTTAATGGATTTCTCATTTTTTTTTTAACACGTTTCTTCTTTTCCACTTCATGGGCTTGCAACCTACTTAGAAGTTCAATAGGCATGAAATGATGGTTGGGTCTAACCCCAAGAATCTTAGATGAAACCTGTGCAAAATCATCAACATGATTTCTTAATAAATTTTTAAGTTTATTATGATAGATACATGCTAGGAGTGAATTAATTTGAAAGGATTGTCTAGGATTTATATTAGATGCTACTATTGTTAGCCCATCCTTATTCAATTTTAGGTTGTGTTATTTTCAATTGTGGTTTGTAGTAGCGTTAGTAGAGTGAGTTAGATGGTGTTGAGATAGTAGAGCCTTGATTTAATGAGCGCCCTACCCCTAATCGTTGTCTAATCATTGTGATTTCTTTTGGGATTGAGAACTTGATGTCCAAATGATTGGTTGAGATCAAGACTTAGAAAGCATCAAGAAGTGGTTAGTTGATTATGGTGTTATAAGTTGATGGGGCCTGCAAGGATACAAAATCAATTTGGTGAGCCTTTAGCAATAGTATCCCCCAAACAAGAATTAATATTATAATTCCCCTCTTGGTTCTCATTTCATCAAATAACCCAATCAATGCCCTTCTTTAGGACCATTGAACCCGAGTTACTCTTGTGTGGGGGGGGGGGTGACATGTTAGCTAAGCTCCTAGAATTATGAAGATTGGCTAAACTTCAAATTTGTTAAATAATTCTTTAACTAACACCACGTTATTGTTGATGCTCTTGTTGGTAGGCAAGTTAGCCTTTGCAAAAATAATAGGAGTTGAGTAGATGTGAGATAGGTTTACTTTGTTTACTTGTATACTTTATAGTCTTGCTCAGTGTATGGATTCTACCATGCTTCCTCGTTTATAATATCAATGACTTTCCTAGTTATTAGGTAGTTGGAAGAACATGTTAACTAAGCTCCTAAAATTATGAAGATTGGCTAAACTTCAAATTTGTTAAATAATTATTTAACTAACACCACGTTATTGTTGACGCTCTTGTTGGTAGGCAAGTTAGCCTTTGCAAAAATAATAGGAGTTGAGTAGATGTGAGATAGGTTTACTTTGTTTACTTGTATACTTTATAGTCTTGCTCAGTGTATGGATTCTACCATGCTTCATCGATTATAATATCAATGACTTTCCTAGTTATTAGGTAGTTGGATTGTTTAGTTCTATAAGTGGATCCTTTTGTCGGTCTTGGTGGGTTTGCTTCTTTAATTCCTTAAAATTTTGCTCCTTTAGGAGTTGTTGTAGTAATGTTTTGTGGTTGTGACACTTCTTAGTCTTATAACCATGGTTTTTTGCGTTCTTTTTCTTTGGGTGATGTTGAAGCTTCTTTGTTTTTCAGTAGTACTCCCATCCTTTAATCATAATGACTAATGATGACATTGGTCAATGGTCTGTAGGGTCGATCAAACCTTTGTAAGAATCTAGATGTGGGCTTTTAACATAGCTGTGTCAACTATAAGCATGTTGACTCAGGATATAGGACAATGTATGAGTGAAATGCTTCATCTTGAACATGGTATCCCCACAATTGACATCTCTCAGTCTTTTGGGTTGGTTGCCTAGTGTTCAATGTTTAGTCTCTCAAACTACTTTAAGGTCAATTAAGACTTTTCTATATATGAAAGAGTGATGTCAGGTGCAAGAACTGAACCCCAGGTTATCATCATCCACAACGTGGTGTCAAGGCTAATTTTCAATTCCTTTTATTGGTCTTAGTCACAAACTCAACATCTTGTGATGCCCCATCAACTTTCCCTTCTTGATAACTTTGATCTTCTTGTATGGAAGGCTCTTACATTTCTTATTATTCATCACCTCATCTTTTCCTCAAGGGGAATATCTCAATGAGAATGCTAGAAGCCTAGAAGGAAGTTGTTGTCCATTTGATTTGGAGCAAATAACAATTGTGTTTTTTATATAGGTTGGTGCACAATATGCTTGGATAATTCAATTTGTAAGATAAAGTCATTGTGATAGAGGGAGCCAACTGGAGGTCTATTTGCTAAAGGTGGAGTTACATGACCTAAGAATTAATACATGCATACCCTAAAATGATGAGTATTAGTTTCCTTCATTTAGGGATCAAGCTCCATCTTGGTTGGGCTTATGGGCATATATCTCTTTTAAGATAGCGCATATTAGATAATCTCCTTAATATAGGAAGGATTTTTGCCTTATGAGTAGGTGTTTGAGCTCGGCTACTTTTGGCATGTGCATGATAGTCCCTAGAAGAATATTTATCTTTAGCCACAAATTAGTGCCGCAAATTTTGTCTTTTGCCTTTTATATATTTTGACCCCCCTCCCCCCTCTACAAGCCCTATTTAGGATGTCCATTTGGCATCAACAAAATGCTTTTAACAATATCAATGACATAGCTCTTGATTTATATTGTGAGTTAAGGTGCATTGTCAACGGACAACCTATGTCTAATGTCAACTTATCCCTTCTAATGTATGACATTATTTTTTTAAAAAATCTTGTCAAACTGAGCATTTTGAGTTTTCATAAGGAGGTCGATTTAATTTTGGCACCAACTAGTCATCTTGAGGCCATCTTGGTCTTGATGCAAGTAGTTGTAGGGAGATTGGTTGAACTATAATTGAAAAGAAATTGGGGGACTAGTCCGGCTGTCGTGTTGGGTAGTCTACCCTAGTTGACCCCCCTTCAAACATCCATTCTCCTACTAACTCTAATCCAGTAAATCTCACTGACAATGCACTTGAGCGTCACTTCTGGCTTAGGTGATTACTTAGGTTCAAACATTCATTCTCCTACTAACTCTAATCCAGTAAATCTCACCGAGAATGCACTTGAGGCGTCACTTATGGCTTAGGTGATTACTTAGGTGATATAGGACTAGTTGTCGTCGATTTCAACCTAGTCAATTGAATCAAGTAATTGATGGAAAATTTGTCTTCCTTGAAATTCCATTATGGACTTGATTCTGATTGACCACTGAGTAGCAACGGGCTAAACTTAACTGATGATATTTATGCAATAGTGCATGAGCGGTGCTCAATATGTTGTGGGTACTTGGTGCTCAACCAAGGAGTTCTTGGTCATTCGAGTCTTCCTTCTAGTTTAGTTGGTTGTATCCAATATTTACTGGAGGAATGCAACAACCTGGATGGCTGTGGAGCCATTTTTTGCCTATCTCAAGTGCTAGGCATATATGACTATTGATGCATTCTGCTATGTAATACTAGATACATGAGTTGGATACCGTGGTTTAGTCCAGTCTTTTCTTTTTTAATTGTAATATGTATTATTTTATATTGAAAGCCATCTCTTAAGCCTGGATGTAGTTTTTATTTGGATTTGGGTTTTTTAAGTTTGCATTTGATGCTTTATTCATAATTATTTGCTTTTTAATTAATTGAATGTTTTGTCCCTCTTTCTTTTATTTTTAGTTGGGATACTCAAATTATTTTCAAGTTCACCATCTTTTTTTTTTTTTTTCTTCAGAATGATCAATTTTCTTATATTACGATTGACTTTCTTGTCAGGTGTTGTCAGATGAGAAAAAGAGAGCTTTGTATGATCAGTATGGTGAAGCTGGAGTGAAGAGTGCAGTAGGGGGATCATCTGGTGCATATACGGTAATGCTGACATCTTTAATTGTTTATCATGCAAGTTTAAATCATCTTTTGATTAATCACTATTTGATTTTTCAAACCAAGTCATGTTAACCCGTTTAGTGCATATATCATTGTTCCTCACAATGCTGCATTAGAAACTAGTCATAAAACCTTTCTTGACTTTATTTTATTTTTCTTTGTAAGTTCCTGATCTGGTGGCAATGCAGGCTAATCCTTTCGATCTCTTCGAAACTTTTTTTGGTGCCTCTATGGGTGGATTTCCCGGTATGGACAAAACTGCTTTCAGAACACAGAGACGAGGTGCAACTATAAAGGGTGAAGATATTCGGTGAGTTACAAATTCCATATGAAATACAAGGATTCTCTATGAGAAATTTTGTCATACCTGTACCCTATAGCTCTCTTAATTGGTTATGTGGTAGTTGTATACATCATGAAGCGCATTGTGTCATAGCTGCAAGCCTGCAACTATGTGATTTATGAATCACTCTGCTTTGTTATGTTTCTACTTTTGTGTTGAGCATCTGTTTCCATCAATTGATACTCTTTTCACTAATGCCAAGAAGGAAGGTGAGTTTCAGGGTTCTGCTGCGATCTTGGGTGTTGGGGTTTTCTTCTTCTTATTGTTATTATTATTCTGGGGGGGGGGGGGGGGGGAATTAAAAGTAAAAGAGAGGTCAATAAAATGGAATATGATGACTCACTGTAGGTAATAAAGTTCTGATCTTCCTTGGCGTTTTTATTGATTTTAGGTCCACAGAACTTGTAGAAACCAGGATCTCAACCAAGTGTTTTTTTCTCGTGCAGAAGTCATAATTTCTTACAACAAAATAGAATTTTATACAAAGCAGTCAACTGGCTGCGGCATGAACTTAAGTTCAGTTCTAAACTATTATGCTTTCTTATGACTAGTCTAGCAGTTCCTAGAGAAAGAGCGGAGCCTATAATAATGCATTCTTTCAACATCAGATATTTTCCATTTGCTTATTTCAACTAGCCAAACCTAGACTTCAGAAGACACTCTCATGGGCACCTTATCTTTCTTTTCCTTTGTTTTAGTCCTTGTGAATTATTTGGACGTGCACTTTGGTCCCTCAAATTTTCATATGCATCTGCTTAGGTCCATATTTTGCTTGAAAACAAATAATTGGTTCCATCACTATAAGTACAATAATAAAATAAAGAAATTACCTCTAATAAAATAAACAAATTAGATGAAATTAGCTCCCTCATTGCAAGCTATCATGGCATTGTACAAAGGGGGAACTCCTATCGTCTATGATGTCAATTGACAATCTTTATCTGGATATTTTATACAAGCTCTATAGTTGACACAACCCAGCCGGGGAGCTCAAAATACCAAGGGGAGAGCAGACGATCAGATGAAAATTTTAAACATTCTCATAGTACTTAAAAAAATGAAATCTTCTAATTTGAAAAGAGCTAACTGAATTATAAATTTTATATATGAACATTTCATATATTACACTTTTTATCGAACCAATTTGCATGCACATTCTTATCCCGAATAATTTTGATGATTTTTGGAATGGCAGACAGCACTTATGCATTGAGCTGTATTCTCTGTATTTGGATCGTTCAGGACATATTTACATCTTTTGGAGTAACATTTCTATAGTTTATTGCTTGTCCATTCTTTTATTTGAATGATTTTAAGAACTTATAAATAAACCATTTATTGTTTTCATACTTTGAAGTTGTTGATAGAACATATCTTTGCTACAGATATGATATGATTTTGGAGTTTTCAGAGGCTATCTTCGGAGCAGAAAAACAAGTTGAGTTGTCTCATTTGGAGACCTGTGATGTCTGTGCTGGTACTGGATCTAAAATTGGTTCCAAATTGAGAATATGCTCAACCTGTGGCGGAAGAGGTCAAGTAATGCGAACGGAGCAGACACCTTTTGGCTTGTTTTCTCAGGTTTGCTGTTGATTCCTGCAAATTTCCTTTTGGTGAAAAAGATATCACAACTATTCTTTTTTAATATTATTGCCTTCATTTTAATTTCCTGTGGCAAAAACCTGTTACTATCCTTGAAAAATTTTATAGGTAAGATGAGCTTTGTTGGAAACCTCCCTCTTGTGTGTCAAGTAATGCATTGCTGATATTCATTCAGTTTATGAAGGAATATTTCCATTTTGATTTGAAATACATTGAATAATAATAATTTAACATACCTTTCCAGAGCATTTCGTCCTTTGTATTCCTGCATAATGAAATTTAGCTTGACTAGGTTGCTGCTATTTTACTGGACTCATAAGTAGAATATTTCCCTTCATTTCTCTTGCTTAAAGCTATGATTTAGCTCAAACTTTTCAAAAATGTGGTTAACATCATATAAGTGGGACTAACTAGGCTATAGGATGTAATCCTCTCCATTTTTGGTATAACTTTGAGCCTAAGAATTTTTAGAGGATATACTTTCCACATCAGCAACGTAAACGATCCTGGATGTCATCACGGCTAGCAGCATGAGCTGTTACGCCCCATTTATATCCCTCTCAGTCAAGTATGAGATGTTGTAGAGGTGAGGATACATAATGAAGCAAATAGAAAATCTTTCTGCCTGGATTGTCGCAAAAGCCAAAATTCTTTTTGTATTCACAGCTAGATCCATTAGAAACATTAGTACGGAATTATACATAATGAAATTCATCTAGAAACTATACTATACAAGTTCTAATCAATACATAATTAACAGATACCGAATCATCATAAACATGCTTATCCTTTGATGCATTAAAACCATACATCAAAAGCACTAGGATAAAAGACAAAATTTGATCACTTCAGGCCCAAGCTTCTCTTTCATTTTGTGGGATAAATAAGTCTAATACAAACATCAAATTACAAGGAAAAAGAAGATAACGCCATGATGATTTTTTGAATAGACATGAATATCAATATCAATAAAAATAATTAGCTTGGTGCAGTAACCGTTTAATCATTACTTGACCTTAACATTGAACAAGAAAACAGCAGTCATTAACAGTAAATATGGATGTCTATGAAGAATTAAAACATAACCAAGTCTAATGTCTTATAAATGTACGATGCTAATCAAATACTAGTTTTAATTTTCTTGTCCTCTTATCATTCGCACTTGTCATAGGCTTAGAAATGTCATGCAAAAGCCACAAGGTATTAGCCTATGTTTGAACCTCTCTTACATCACAAAGTCATTAACAAGGTTTAAAATTGCACAATTGGGTATTGAGGCTTTTTTTTTCCTGTCACGAGGTACAAGACTCAAAATTAAAACAATGCGTCAAGTGAAAATAAATATTAAAAGAGATTTTTTATATAATATCCAAATAATATATTAAATAATGATATATTAACTTCCTATTGAATTATGAAGTAGCAAATTAGCATGCATATGAAATAAAAAATTGCACAAGACATGAGGCGGTAAATAATAAATTGGTGAAATAGAATTGAAATCCAAATATTACAAGAGCAAAATAATATTAAATATATGAATTGCATAAAAATATCATATAACATCAGGTTTAACTCGAAATTCCTTCTTTTTTAGTTTCTTGCTTGCTCACATCTAATCCCTAAAGAAAACTGAAATAGTTGGCAATAACTCAGAAATTATTTATACTGTCATCATTGAGGGGGTCTTTATTTGAGCCGTCGTCCTAACAAATTATTCTCTCCCATGCCTCATCCTTTGAAATCCAATGCCTTCCAATTTGCTTCTTCTTTATTTATTTTAGTCATCTTTCTCTTTCATAAATATTTTTCATCAACATTGTCACGACCCAACCCGACCGGGACGGATCCCGCTCGCATCGGGTCATGATGCCTGAACTGAAACTGACTGAACTGATTCCAGGATCTGGCTTTGGAATTTGTTTCAGAATTTTCTTCCAAACATTACATACAGAAACAGACGCACACAGAGCTACTATAAACATCAAATGCAGCTGAACAGATCATCTATCTTTTTTTTTCTTCCTCAAAAGAATCATGTACAAATACAGCTCATGGCTTTCAGACAGAAAGAAAAGCAGACTAGGACGATAATTAATTTTCAAAAACCCCTTGCTCTCTGACTTTTGCCATGAACTGATCGTCCTGGTACTATCCCAGATCGGCCTGGACGATCCATACAGGAAATTTTTCCTGTAACTTCTGTACAGAATCTGGAACAAAACTTGAACTGATCGTCCCGGGACGATCTCGATCGGCCCGGACGATCCTGGAGCAGATCTGATGTTACAAACATAAAGACGAGTTTAATACTCTAAAATTTTTAGAGGAGGTGATGGTGGTAATGCCGCTTTCAAGTGATCTCCAATGGTGGCTAAAACTGTGGGGGTTACAACGAAGGTGACGAGTTAGAGGTCAAGGTAGACGAGAGGACGTTGCTATGGCTCAGGGGTGCTTGAATGTGTGATTTGTTTGGAGCATTAGTTTATGATTTAGTAAGTTTAATAAAAATATATATAAATAAGGTGAGCGGTAAGCCTCATGCCAGCTAGGCAAGACGCGACTCAAGGTGGGCCTTAGCCAAGCTAAGACGCAAGCCTCATAAAAAAACTCGAGACATAAGGCTCAAGACATTTTTTGCTGGAATTTTGCTGAGGCCGGACTCAAGGTGAGTCTTATATTGCGCAATTTTAAATATGGCATCACCTATCCCATCAACATTTATCATAATCACTAAAAAGTTTTGGTCTTGCTCCAACATAGCAATTATCGACGGACTCCGTGAAAATGCTTGGATTACTTCATAGACTATTCTGAAAGTCAGGAACCCCTTCTAGTTTCCTTAGCATTGGCTCACCCTATCAACATTTTTACCTCTTCCAATGCAAATCATCATAACTCGCCAACCTATATCACATGACATGACCTTCAAAGACTTATCTTTAACATTAGTATTGTAAAGCATTTAAAATATACATATCATTATTACGAACATGCTATCAACAATTCACTTCAACATTTATTTTAGAATGAACAAAATGTCACATCTTATAAGTACTGTATTTAAGAAGAAAGAAGGGAACTAGAGATACTCGTAGGCATAAGCATGGTAACACGTAAAAGTAACATATCATTTACTTGAAGAGGCATGATAAATCACGAGATTTGTACTATATGAAGATAGCATGTAATGGCTTGAGTAGTTAGAAATGTGCAATGTCGTACATTTATTAATTATGCTATTTAAAACAAACAAAATGCTCTATGTGAAGAGATTTCTTCAAGCAGTACACCTATAAGTTCAATAATATTAAGAAACAATAGACTTAAGAATGTTTTTTTTCCTATACTAGAGGTTGAGTGTCTCTCGCAAACAATAGTTCGATGCCATGACTGGTTTTCACACTGATCATCCTAAAACCTCATCTCTTATATACAAATTAAAAAAATCATCAATTTCCCCTCATTATATAAAATTTCCTGAGTCAAAATCTAAATGAAAAATTACCTCAAATTATTTTTTACATCAATTTTAGCACTTCTCACGAAAGCCCTAAAGCTTGTCATCCTCAGTATGAAGTAGGTATGAAGTAGATTCGTAGTATATTCACAAAAATTAGATTTCTCCTCTCCGAACCAAGTGTCTTGCCAACATTCACATAATATCATATTATATGCAAATGAAATCTTAGTCATGCCATTTTAATGGAAAAGTGAATTTTGCTTATAGGATCATTAGGGAATACTTTATAAATAGTAATATTAAATGCTAAAGCTTAGGTAATGATTTTAAATAATCAAAATAGTCCCTTAACTTTTTATGAATGATCAAAATGGTCCCCAACTACATTAAAGGACCATTTTGATCCGTCAAGTCCTTAAAGAGGAACCAAAATAGCCCTACGCCATATATTTGATTTGGCCGAGCGGATTTGAAAGGGCAAGTGCCCTCCCCAACCTCCCCTTCTTGGGGAGTTGCCAAAATTATCCCGAGAGGCTATCGAAATTGTTAAAAAATCTTTGAAGCTTTAAATTAAATTAAAAAAAGGTTGAATTAAACTAAAATAAATTAATAACTAATTGATTAAAATAAACTTGAAATATTAATTAAATTAATTAACTAATTAATCAAATTTAAACTAAAATTCAATTAATTGAATAATTGATTGATTTAAAATCTAATTAAATAATTAACTTAAAATTTAATCAGAACTTTAATTAATTTAAAATCTAATTAAAATTAAAACGCTGATTTAATTTTTTTATTGAACCATTAAATTTAAATCTTTATCTAAATTTAAATTGAGCTTTTATTTAGCCTAATTAAAATACAATTAAATCTTTAATAATTGATTATCTAATTTTAAAAATAAAAATTAAATTCATATAATTAAACAATTTAAAATTTAATAAAATCAAAACTTTAATTAAAATTAAATTTTTAATTAACTAAACTAATTAATTAATATCTTTAAAATTAATTAAATTAATTGAGCAACCAATTTAATTAATAATTAAATTAAAATAATTATGTAATTTTAAAAATACATTTAAAATTTAAATTAACACGCTGAGCAATTTGTTTTAAATTAAAATTAAATTTAATTAAAAAATTCATTTAATTAATTAATCTAATTAGTTAAAGAAATTGATTTAAATTAAAACACAGAACAATATTCACACTAATAAGCTTGAAACAACTCACACAACTTAAACACAAACTCCTAAGACTAAGAAAGCATGAAAAAGAAATAATGCTTAAAAATTCCTAAAACTAAACCCCTTTAACTCCTGGCCAGCTCTAGCTACTAGCAAGCCTCTAGGTCCTGGTAAGTCCTATAGTTGCAAGCTCCCGCTTCCACAACTACTAGTCACAAATACCTGCAAACAAGTAGACGAAAGTCAATGAAGGGTAAACAAAATTTGTATTAGAAAGAACAAAACTAGTACTGGGAAGAAAAAAACAAGTAGGTAAAGCTCTACTATAGGCAAAATTAGTGCTAAAAGAAAACTAGAACCGTAGACAAAACAAGGTCTTGGAAATAAGGTACTGAAGCTAAAACAACAATACTAAAGCAAAATACAACCTACTAAAGTAGGAAAGAAAAGCATTGTAAGTTAAAACACTGGTTGCTGGTGTCGAAGCAGTGAAGGGTACATAGCTAAATGTTTGCCGCTAAAACCCTGCTAACCTAATATTCTACCGACAACTTCTAATAGAGGTTGTAAGGCCGACTTTAGGAAGAATCTCTTAGTAAAAATAGCCTAACTCTAATTTCTGATATCGAGCCACCTCTAATAGAGATCGTAAGTCCTACTTTAATTAAGGTGTTAGGTAAAACTTTCTCGGAACAAATAATACATCCCTGCTAACCTTGGCAACCTCTAATAGAGGCCTTTAGACCTGCTACTATGGCTAATTTTAATGAAAGCAGTAAGTCCCAACTCTTTAAACTCTCAAAACTACTTTCAATGAAAGCAGTAAGACCAAAATTTTAAACTCTATGGGCCACTTCTAAGTGAAGCCGTAAGACCCTCTATATAGGCTATTTCTAAACGAAGTTGTAAGACCCATTATACGTGCTACTTCCAAGGGAATCCCTAAGACCCGCTACACGTGTTACTTTTAATAAAAGCCGTAAGCCTCGACCCCAAGTTTAAATCAAATAATTGGGTAACCTCTTAATGAAGTAATTAATCCCAAACTAATTAAATACTGGGCATAGATGTAAACCCCAAACCATAATAAAATTAAAATCCACATCTATCAACTTTAGTTTATTTGGGATACCTGAGATGAGGCAACCCATGACTGCTAATCGGATTCTCAGAACACTATAATCAACAGTTGTTAGTGTTGGTAAACTGAAACCTACGATATACTCGGGATGACAGAACCATAGGATCTTGATTGGGTTTACCTTCATCCCCCACAACCAAAATTGAAATTGTCGCACGTCTAACCATCGATTCATCCTTAATTGAGAGTTCTCTTCTACATTTTAGTAGGGGTAATTAACTATGAAGGCTTGCTCTCATAGGAAGTGGAACCTCATAATTAAATAAACCTTGATGCCGATCATCAGGGGAAATATGAATAATTTAAAATCCAATCTCCCTCGGAAAAAATGGGACCTAAAGCTTGCGAAAGCGGGATTGATGCCGTAGCGCCTTATTTTTCCTGAGTGAACAAGGGTTCCAATTTACTTTTAGGTAATCCAGATGATTTACAACTTTCAAAAACATGTATTCAAAATTTTGATGTTGATTCAATCAATCAGATAAATAATTTGAGGACCTGAGTTCGACCTTATTGACTCATAGTTGTTTTCAAAATTCTAGCAAATTATCTCAATACACGTATAAAATATGTGCTACTTCAAATATCAAATTCTAAACAATTGAGTTGGTTTATCCATGGAGCAAGGTTATAAGAGCTGTTGTTGTTCAACTCAAGTATTGGAGTGGTCAATCCCACATATGGGCATTTTGAAAGCTAGTACTGTAAGCCTCAACCCTCTGGGCAATTCCCTAACAGATCAATTATCCTCAAACTTCTAAAGCTTATTCCAAATATTAGATACAAGTCGATAATCTAAATGACAAACATCAAGCTTTCTATACTCTCTAGGTTAGAAGTTTGATTTATAGGATCTTGAGTGGATGTAAGCCCTACCACGATGAGTTGGGCCTATATAAAGCTTGTAAGTCTATTGAACCAATTTTATTTATTGGGCCGCCTTACTTATAATGTAAGGCTATAAGATTATTATTGGGATCTCCTTATCCTTGAGGTTACAAATCCCATTTATGGGCCTCCCAATCAATGTAAGCCCTAACCTAATCAATATGAGACTGTTCAAAAGAAATATTAAGTTTATCAAATCATGGTTAATTATCAACCCAACTTGGATGCTCGAATTAATGATGCAGGAACAGACAATCAGATTTCATATATTGGCATCAATAAAATAAAAATATTTAGTTATAAAACTTTAATACATATTGAAATGACACTAATCTATAAAATTCTTTTTATATCAAAACTATAACAATTACAATATAAATACATTTCTCTTGAAGTTCCTCAGCTATGATACACATATTCTCTTTGCTCACTCATTTAGTTATTAATACATTATCATTAAAATGTTAGTCATAACAATGATGAATTATTTTCACTCAAAGGATAATTGTATTTTCAAATTACTGTAACATAATGAAAATTTAGAAACCAATGTATATTATTCTATGATGCACCGACACTTCTCCTCAAAGAGGCGTGCAGTGTCCGACACGACACTCGTCCGACACTCCTCCGACACGTGTCGGACACGCCGAAATCGTGTCCGATTAAAAAAATATTAAAAATAAATTAGACACGCGTGTCCGACAACTATATAAAAAAATGTATTGCCGTGTCCGCGCCGTACCCGTGTCCTATATTTAAAAAAAAAAACCGTGTCCGTGTCCGTGTCGTGTCGTGTCTGTGTTGCCGTGTCCGTGCATCATAGATATTATTATTAAAATAATTAGCTTAAGTAGTTGGCGATAAATTATATTCAATTTTGATCATTAAAAAATTTTTAAACCTTATTTTATAAATTATCATATCATATTATATTTTATCTCTCTCATTTCTTATATAACATAATTTTCAAAGTGGACACCATCAAAAGTTATACTATTTTAGGTTCTTATTCATTTCCTTTTTCTAGACCTTTTTCAATTTATTATGTGCACCGGTACATTGAATCTCAGCTAATTCCATAAGGGGTTAAACTCCATCTGTCAGCATGCACATGCAAGTAGTTCTACATAAATAATGTCAATTACATTCTCCATATCATTCCATTTATTTATATGATTGAGCATAATATGACTTGATAGTTAGTTGAAGCATGTTAATAAATTTGTGTTATCCAATTCAACACAATCAATATTTTATTTAAATAAAATATCATATAATCTTTTTATTAGAATATTTTAATTTTATGTTTAGGATTAAAATTTAATTGAATTAATTTATTTAATTTAAATTTTAAGTTCTAATATATACACATACAGATACATAATAAAAAATATTGACCTTTTTATTTGGGTAAAATCAATTTTTATTAGTTTTTTAAATCTCAAACTGTCCAAACTTTATAAAATAAAATATATGTTTTATTATGTATATAAACTATTTTTTTTTTTTAAATTTGATTAAAGAAAAATCCTTTCCTTTATAAATGCCTTCTTTCAATAGTCCTTTTCCTCTCTCGCTTGGTCCTTGCAAGACGTATGCTTAACTTTTGTTTTGCCTTCTCTCAATAGCTCAAACTAGATGGTTTATTTACATACTCGGCTATTTGTTGCTGACTTCATGTCCAGCTTCGCAACCTTGCCGATCTCAAGCCATCTTCACCGCCTCTTTCTCTCTATCTCTCAGCGGCTCGATTGCAATACCCCTCGATGACTTGCCCGCGACTCTTAAAAGCGATTTGTCGTGATTTTAATAGGTGAAGCCCTTTTCGTCTCTCTTGCAATGTTCAATGACAGATCCAACTACAATTGATTTAGTTGAACCAACAATAGTCGGTTTGGTATTTTTTTTAAATATTACAAAACTTGTGCTAGCTGCGGTGTTATTATGCTCTTAAGTCAAAATCTAACTAACCAACTAAATTCTCATATATGTATTAGACATTATTCTTCAAGCTTATTGAGAATTAGCGGCCATGCCATGCCTCTGAGCTCTTGTCGATTATGTCCAATACCTCCGAATTGCAAGCGACCATGTTGTATACCTCTAAAATTTCAGTGAACATTGGTACTACCATCTCTCTACCAATGAATGAGTTGATGTTGAGCTTGAAAGCAAATCTTTGATGCAAAAACCTGCCTGATCTATTCTGGATAGGGGGGAGGCAACTTATGGTTGCTAATTAGACTCCATAGACTTTACAACATAAATATCTCTAACTTTAGTAGACTGCATACACTAATATACCTGATATGATGGAACCACATAATCTTTATTGTTTTTATATATATTTCCCCAATGATTAATCATTTTATTATATTCAGATTAAACTAAATCTAAGTTTAAAATTGGGTCTAAGCAAACCTCTACAATTGAGAGTGCTCTTCTCAAAATGGACGAGAGAATTAACCTTTGGTGGGTTGCACCCTTAGGAAGATTCGACAGCTTATTAAATAAACTTTGGTTCAATAACAAAGAAAACCTTGTTAAAATAAGCTAATTTACCTTAAGGAAAACTATTCCTTGAGTTCTTTTACATATCATTGGAGGTTTGAAGGGGAGGATGTGCTTACAATAAGCAAGCCAAAGCATGTTATGTTCTTCTTGCTCTTCTTAAGGAGTTTGCCCAATAATATGTTTAGTTAAAAGTGTGCTTGTAGATATCAAGGTTTTATCTATGTTCTTTAGGCATATGAATCTTAATAACCTTTTTGCTTACCATTACATCTCACTGGAATGAAAAAACAGAATGTTTTTAGTTTTTTTTGAATGATAAGAATTTAAACAAAAGTATTTTTATCTATTGATGGAAAATACCTGAACCTGATCTTTTTAAGTGGTAATCTTAGCATGATACGGTTATTGTCAATTTTAGAATTTCTTTTGCACAAAATTATCCTAATCATTTTGTGTTCACTGACTTAACTTTTAAGTTAATTATTATTTTTTGCTTTATTTTTTTAAAATGCTATTATCCATAGGTTTCTATATGCCCAACCTGTGGTGGAGAAGGTGAAATCATTTCTGATTATTGCCGTAAATGTGCTGGTGAAGGGCGTGTTCGTGTTAGGAAGGGCATTAAAGTAGAAGTTCCTCCTGGCATTAGCAAGGGTAGCACTCTTCGTGTCCGTGGTGAAGGTGATTCGGGGCCTAAGGGGTGAGTAATTAATTTTTAGCATTATTTGTTGCTATATTCTTATTAATCATGATTGCATCTCAGGTATGTCAAAGTATTGTCTCGAGTCATGTTATTAAACAAAGTTCAGTGAAACTCCTTTTGCAGCCTAACTATGTATTCCTTTCTTATGTTATTTTGTTTAGTTAGTTTTAAGCATGGAACTCTCAGACATACTCTTCTTTCGCAATAGGTTTGTGTGACCTCTTTTCTAGAGATATATAGATGTTAAAATTGATTTTGAATATAGTACAAGGTCAGCATCACTTTTAAATTTTCCTTCAAAATATTATATTTAACAACGAACACATTAGGAAATATAAGGTGTTATCATAATTTGTATTCGAGTACATCATATTCAATTCTGTCTAAAATCAAAATTATCTTGTATTCTTTCTGCAAAATCAACATATAGTATAGCTTAAAAATGGGCACATTGGTGTTATGTCATCTTGTATTCTGAAGTTTACAACGTACTCTCAGCCTCTTATATTCCTTCATAGTTTTTTTGGATCACTTCTGATCTCTTAAAGTTTTAGTCAGTTATGGCAGTTTATTTCAATCTCACAAAGCTTTTAACTTTATTTATTTGGACTTGTTTATGGAGCTTGCAGTTGAGTAATTTTTATTGTTAAACTTGTAGAAAAAGGGAGGAGCAAATCAAACATTTTTTTTTAATGTTGATATATTAAAGTGTTACAATAGTCCATTTAGTTGGAACTAAACTTCTAGAAGAGCTTTATCAGAATTTTGTTGATTTCTGTATTTAGTTTGAATGTTGATGGACTTGACATTAGGCATGTGGGCTTTATTGGGGCATGAACATTACATGCCAAGTGGGCTAACCCTTAGGCCTCATTCTGTGTTGATAGCTATTGAAAATTTTTGTGGAAAGTGTAGGTAAAGAAAGCAATATGTCCAGAATTTAGTTAAAGAAAAGGTTAAATTTATGTGCTGATGTAAGAATGTTATGCAAAGTCTCTATTCTTCTTAGTTGTCAGCATCATAATTGCACAAAATAGTAAAGGACCATCTTTTATTTAGTCTTTAAGTATTTTTGGTGAAAGCAACTATAAGTGATGTTGTTCTCTACATTTGAGGGACGTTAAACCCTGTCATTTAAGAGCGGGGGTTGAACTTCTCTACAAACCTCATCTATAAAGGGGTTGAAATCTTTTTTATCTTTTGATGTGCCTCTTAATTTTTCTTTTTTGTTTCTTTCCATCATCCCACTGCCTCATGATTATTCTCTCATTTCTCTTCTTCTTCTCAGTCATGATTCTTGTTGCCTTATGATTAACCGTTACATTTTCCAGGATAGGAAAGAGAAACTAGAGAGGGAGAGAAGGACTAGTTATAAAATGGAGGGAGGGAAAGGGGGCTTGGGGCTGGTGGCCTATTCTTGGCCAGTGTCACGATTGTCCTCAATGGAGAAAACTTGCTCTGCTGGTATCAAGATAAAAACTTGCAATATCTCTTGGGAGATATGAGAATGGAGGATGAAGATGGGTTTTTGAGAGATGGTACTGCAATGCGGAGATCCCTTTTGGGTGGCTTTCAATATGGGCTTAAATATGATGTTGTACATTGAGGCAGTTAAACCTATATACCAGGATGAGCTCCATGGGAGCTTTCAACCATTTTTTCAGTCAAAATAGAAATTAGGTTCAACTTCCTTCACTATGAATTAAAATTGTGGACTCAAGTTAGTTATAAATGACAAGTTTATAAATTGCTGTGTGCTAAAGGTCATGTCAGTGGAGAGAGAAATTAATGTCTAAGCCTCTAATGATTATCCGCACACAATAAACAAATATTAAAAAAGGAGCAAAAGGTTTTTTATTGGAAATTCAAAAAGTGAAAAAATCATTGGGCCTTGCCCAATCATAATAGCTTCAAGTAGTTTAGGCTTAGATTATAGTTGGTCGCCCTTCCCCAAAATTTGAAAAGCCATGATTATAATGTAGAAGACTTAGTCTGTAGATTATGTTCCTTATTATTGTGGAGTAAGGAATCTGGAGGTATTAATGTGGATTATGATGAAGGGTAATGAGAAACAGTCCTAAAAAAGCGAGGGTAGGTTTAAATTATAATAATCAGTGGATAATTGGAGGTAATCATTAAAATTCATCTTTTAATGAAGGGAGTTGACTAAATGACTTGGAGATGAAGAACAACTACAAGTGGTTGTCCTTGTGCTAATTGAAGGGGGTGGGCTGAGCTATTTGGAATCAAAGGTGAGAAGAGAATTCGGGATTTGCCAGAACTGTTGGTTGAAGGAGGTTGAGACAATCCTACACTTGGACAACAATAGCAACAACAACAACAACAACAACATCAAGCCTTTGTCCCACTACGTGGGGTCGGCTACATGAATCCTTTTTCGCCATTGTCTGGTTAAAAGTCATATTCTCATCTAAATCTAATAAAAAAAGATCATTTCTAATATTTTCTAACCAAGTCTTTTTAAGTCTACCTCTACCTTTCTTAACATAAGCCAAATCTAATACCTCAACTTTCCTAACCGGGTCATCGGAAGGCCTCCGTTTAATGTGACCAAACTATCTAAGGTGACTCTCTCTAATCTTATCTTCCATTGGAGCTACTCCAACCTTTTCACGTATATGCTCATTTCATATCCTATCTCTAAGGGTCAAGCCACTCATCCACCTAAGCATCCTCATCTCTGCAACACTTAACTTAGTATTATGCTTCTCTTTTAATG